TTTTTTCAGGGACATCCATTATTTGATACTGCCCAATGTGCATAAGTGGATAGCCCTAGTATCAAAATTATATATTTGGCTACATTATATTCCTTGCCTTTGCCACTTACGTCGAACCAATCACTACCGTTTAAGTGAATTAAAATTAAACCATCAGTCACTGATAAATTAGTAAACACGTGTACAAAAGAAAATGTTTCATGCATTTCATAAGTTTCATGTAATAGTAGATAACAGAATGGAGAGTTTCGTAATAGAAGATACAAAACGTACATGCGCTTGTTTTGCTTATACATAAATATAACTTTACTCATTAGAGAGACACAACAAATCAACGTTTTGTGGTTTTACATAGCTTTAACTGATTTAGTTTTAAGGAATGTAATGATTTCTAAATAGTACAACATGTACTTTTTGTAGCAAACATATTATAGAAGCAAATATATATCTTTACTATTTATTTAAATGGCTCATTAATTTAAAATTACCAGTTTGAACAGAGCAATTTGTCGTTTTACAATGCCAGTTCATGACATTGACATTGACATTGACCTTGACCTTTGACTAAATATTCTGACTAATTATAGGATAACAAATATATGTACCTGATGTGGTCATCCCATAACAGTTCACTACAGAGTTTTTAGATGAACAACCCCAAATATCGTTTGCTGATTACTATACTATACAATAATTAGTGGTTTGGGGCGCTGTGACCATGCCAACTTCAAAGGCTCGTTACAAGACTTTGCTACCAGCTTTTTGAAGTACAACAGGGCTTAAAATGTTCCTTAGGTACTCCTCTATTCAAAATAAGTGTCAAATAAGTGTCAAAGTACTGGGGGTGCAACGAAGTCATTCTGAGCTGGTGTCAGCTCCTCGACTATATATAGTAGTCCTATATCCATAATATAATATAATGGCATGATATAATTTTCATAAATTGGCACAATGCTTTTGGGAGTGATTTAATAAGAGACTGATGACATGTATAACCATATTAATAAAGAATATAATCCTCGGGCTCTGCAGAAAATTTCAGACAATTACCCCAGAAAATGCATCACTTCATTTGCAGCACAAAATAAACTAGCTTTTCCATTAAGTTGTTCACCTCCCACTCCATATTGATAAAAAAAAAAAAAATTGTTGTCAGCATCACTCAGTATCATTTGTTTGCATATATCACCACACAGCTTCCCTCACAGATCTAATACTTCATACATTAGTCTATTCAGGAACACCTGGATCCAAAGTAACACACTGGCAGCCTGTGTTTGTGCAACACATACCACACACACATTGTTTACTGTTTAAAGTAAGCCGAAATTTAAATGACTACTCTTGCTACTCTGTTCTAATATAAAAGAATTGGCACAATGCCAAATAAGACTAACATAAGATACTTTCTGATCGTTTCAGACTGCTATAAACCACATATTAGGGATGCCAAGCAATGTACCAGCTGAAATCTTTTCGAGATGAATCATTTTAAGCTGTTCGCTTAATAATAAAAAAAGAGTGGGGTTTGATAGAGTTTAGTGACTTAACCACTCAGAATGGGATGTATTTTGAACTGATAGTACAAGCACAGTCCCTCTATCACAGAGGAACTGTGGTACAAGTATACATTAGTCTAGTATGTGGCGATATCGCAAGTTCATGTTCAATTAAGGAAACAGATCATCTCAACATGACAGCAGGGTTTGCCCATACTTGGTACATTCTGTTTTGAATTGACATTTAAAGCAGTCATGAATTTTTTGAGCATCTTATCAAAATAAATTCTTTGTAGAGTTAAAAATCTATTGACATGTACCTCGGTGCAATAAACACAGACAAATGGGAAAAAGATAATCCAAAATATTAAATTATATAATGTCATTTCATAAATCCCCAATATATCAGAATTAAAGGTTTTCATGATGAAATAGCTTTACATTATCACAAGATGTGAACCTCTATTTGCAAGTAAATATATTTCAACAATAATCTCCCAAATTTATCTTTTTTTTATTTGGATGTGTCAATTTATATGCACTGGCATATTTATGTTACTGTGAGAAAATCATTATTGTTTAAATATTAAATTATACAATGACTGCATTTGCATCTTCATAATTCAGACACAAAATTTTAATTTTGTATAATAATTTGCATATTTACAGCTAGTGTGATTCTTTGACATATATGCCATGTATTGGCCACACCATGTACAGGTTCACCAGGTATTGTAATACTGTGACATATATGCCATGTATTGGCAACACCATATACAGCTTCACCAGGTATTGTAATAATGTGACATATATGCCATGTATTGGACACACCATATGCAGCTTCACCAGGTATTGTAATGTGACATATATACCATGCATTGGCAACACCATATACAGCTTCACCAGGTATTGTAATAATGTGACATATATGCCATGTATTGGCAACACCATATACAGCTTCGCCAGGTATTGTAATACTGTGACATATATGCCATGTATTGGCCACACCATATACAGGTTCACCAGGTATTGTAATACTGTGACATATATGCCATGTATTGGCCACACCAAGTACAGGTTCACCAGTATTTTAATACTGTGACATATATGCCATGTATTGGCCACACCATATACAGCTTTACCGGGTATTTTAATACTGTGACATATATGCCATGTATTGGACACACCATATGCAGCTTCACCAGGTATTGTAATAATGTGACATACATGCCATGTATTGGCCACACCATGTACAGGTTCACCAGGTATTGTAATAATGTGACATATATGCCATGTATTGGCAACACTATATACAGCTTCGCCAGGTATTGTAATGTGACATATATGCCATGCATTGGCAACACCATATACAGCTTCACCAGGTATTGTAATAATGTGACATATATGCCATGTATTGGCAACACTATATACAGCTTCGCCAGGTATTGTAATGTGACATATATGCCATGCATTGGCAACACCATATACAGCTTCACCAGGTATTGTAATAATGTGACATGTATGCCATGTATTGGCAACACCATATACAGCTTCGCCAGATATTGTAATAATGTGACATATATGACATGCATTGGCCACACCATATACAGCTTCACCAGGTATTGTAATAATGTGACATATATGCCATGTATTGGCCACACCATATACAGCTTCACCAGGTATTGTAATAATGTGACATATATGCCATGTATTGGACACACCATATGCAGCTTCACCAGGTATTGTAATAATGTGACAAATATGCCATGTATTGGCCACACTATATACAGCTTCACCAGGTATTGTAATATTATGACAAATATGCCATGTATTGGCCCCATATACAGCTTCACCAGGTATTGTAATAATGTGACATATATGCCATGTATTGGCAACACTATATACAGCTTCACCAGGTATTGTAATAATGTGACATATATGCCATGTATTGGCAACACCATATACAGCTTTGCCAAGTATTGTGACATATATGCCATGCATTGGCAACACCATATACAGCTTCACCAGGTATTGTAATAATGTGACATATATGCCATGTATTGGCCACACCATATACAGCTTCACAAGGTATTGTAATAATGACATATATGCCATGTATTGGCAACACTATATACAGCATCGCCAGGTATTGTAATGTGACATATATGCCATGCATTGGCAACACCATATACAGCTTCACCAGGTATTGTAATAATGTGACATATATGCCATGTATTGGCAACACCATATACAGCTTCGCCAGGTATTGTAATAATGACATATATGCCATGTATTGGCCACACCATATACAGCTTCACCAGGTATTGTAATAATGTGACATATATGCCATGTATTGGCAACACCATATACAGCTTCGCCAGGTGACATATGTGACATATATGCCATGCATTGGTCACACCATATACAGCTTCACCAGGTATTGTAATAATGTGACAAATATGCCATGTATTGGCCACACCATATAGAGGTTCACCAGGTATTGTAATAATGTGACTATATGTATATGCCATGTATTGGCTACACCACTGTTTACTTTCATTGTTTTTTGATGAGTTGAATGTAAAATAAATTTTAAGTGGAAATTAATTATTTTACAGTATGCCATGTATTGCCACAACATAAGGATAATGAATCTATGAGCAATGTTGTGCATACAGATTAAAAAAAGTAACATTGCCAGCATTGTGTTTGTATTGTCACACATTACATGACCAAAAAAGTAAGAACAATGGCTAGGTCCCAGACATGTATAAATAAACCAACTGAATGAACCACAGTCATTCTTTCGGTTTTAGAAAATCAAAATAATGCCAGTTGTTTGTGCTATGAATCAAATAGAAAGGTCAAAGTTCACCTACCCCTTAATCTTCTATTCAACAGATACAGCCCAGCGACAATTACCACCGCTTCCACGGCAACCATTCCAAATGTCTTCACTATGCCTGAAAACACAAGATTTAAAGAAAGATTGTCAAGAAAATAACAATGATGGTGTGTTGAAAATCACCTGTTGCTAAATTAAAAGTCATCTTTAATAAATAACGTGATGGTGCAAAAAGTAGTTACATAATCAGATATCTATTTCAGTCGTATTATCAAATATTTTTTTTTACAGCCTTGATATATGAAGTAGTACTGTAAAATCTGTATTAAAAGCCGCGGCTTCTATTAAAATAGTACAATGCAAAAGAGGGGGTGCGGCTTCTAATAGAGCATCTACACATATGAGAAATGGTGACATTTTGATTCTTAATTATTCAAAAATAATGGGTGCGACTTCTATTAGGGATGCGGCTTCTAATACAGATTTTACGGTATGTGCCACCAAATGCAACAATTACAGTATTTGCAAGACATTGCTCAAGTTGCTTGCAAAAATTTGGTCGTGATTGAGTTTTCAGTGTCTTAGTGTATCCAATGACATGAGCAACCAACCAAGAATTCAATTTGGCGTTCTGAATAAATCAAACTTTGATCTGAAACATTTCAGTGAACAGCTATTTTCAGTACCTGTGCATTTCAAGTCTTACTTATAAATTGATGTCATTTTTTGCCACGGCATCCAAAGAGCACTGAATATTTCGCACTTCCTGGGCTAGTTGTGATAAGTGTAATTAGTAGCAGGATTCAAAACTGCATTGCATGATGGGATTTTAGTTTGTCCAGATAAAAAAAAATACATTAGCTGCTGAGTGTCAAGCTCCAACATGCATAAACTTGTGAATACCAGAATTACTGATTTTGGTTCTTAGCTCAATTCATTGCATATATTAAAGACTTCAACCAAGTTTAGCAGATAATACAACTTTAAATTAGGATTTGCTTCTTGTCAATAGAAGAACAAAATTCAAACAGCATCACCATATCAATTTCCTCTAGAACAAGAAGCAAAAACTGTTTTTTGCTTTAAGAGAACATTCACATTAAAGGATGAACGTGGCTACCAAAAAAATTGCAAAAATTACAATTTCAGTGAGTGATAAGTTTGATCAAATAAAAAATAAAAAGAGGTGGCACCAGAACTTGTTTCCATGGAAACACTGATGAAAGCCATTTTGAATAGAAAACTGGTCTACCAGGTAAGTACATATAAAGGTACAAAAATTTCAAATATGAACTAATTTAGGATATTCCTGTGTTAAAAGTTTGTTAGTTGTGTCCATCCTTATTGCAAATGATTATAGGAAAAATTTCCAATGCTACAACACTGTATGGAGACTATAACAACATATCATTCTAATCAAATAGAGCACAGCACATTCTAGGTAATTTAACTGTAAACTGCATTGAAAAATGTGTCTACAATAGTGCATTTTGATGCGTTTTTGCATTCTTCATTATATCGAATTAAATGAATAAAAGAAATTAAGACACATTTTTCAAAATGCAGTTTGTACATCTACAGATTCATAATTTGACAATTATCAAGGAATGTGCCCATAACATAATGGCTGTTACCATTAATTATAACACTATGCTTCACTGCAGGTGCTGTTAGTACATTAGTTAGGTAATAGTACAGCCATGTCTAGACTTGAGATACAGGTGAAGGTGGGACAAAATATAAAAATGGGAAGAGTTACCAGGGTCACCAATCTAGTGCACTTTATATGTATCAGATACGTCCTGGTGTTGGGTGTGGTAGTTATATATTGCTGTATATATGCAAGCCAAACATATGGTGTCTGTACATCAACATATTTGCTTCAGAAATCCAGATGATACAGCATATTAATTTTAATATTCAGTTGATGGTTCAGTGTTTTAAAAAAATTATGTACATGATCAGACCTGATGCAATTAGTTTTCAAAAAATTAGTATTTTGTAATGTTGCTAATAGAGTAAATATTGAACATGTCTGAACCAACTGTTTTTTGAATAAATGTTTGTTAGTTTTTTAGTCTGAAAGTGATATGAAAGGCATATCCAATTTGGAAGAATCACTGTTGATGCAAAAATGCACAAAACATTACAGGGGTATATATATTTTTTCTGCTATGACACCATAGAGCTCATGCCATGCATCATTTTCTTGCTACGTAAAACCAGGTATTCCAAAATATAATAATAGTATTGCGATAAAAATTTTACAGTGTCATTATGTTCCATCAAATTTAAGATCCTCACTCCACTACCAGTACAATACACCACACATCAGCAAGCACAGCAAACATGTGTATTGTGAACTATGACTAAGCAATGGTCATTAACCTTACACCATAAAAACATGCCATTTCAAGAAGCCATTCAGGAAAAAGCAAGCATGTCCACAGACAGCGTAAACAATTTATTGTACTGACTTTTGTCCATTTTCACCATAAAATAACAGAAAGATCCAGGAAAATACCAAGGTTATTATAAGAACTGAACGCCTTCATGTGTATGTCGTTTCTAGCAGCAGAGACAGGACCTTCTTTGTAATAGTGGTAAAAAATTTTAAAATATTCAGGTTGAAACTGCAAGCAAAATAAATGTGGAATAATAACACAAATAATATGACGATAAAAATAATAATAAACATCATCTGCTGAAGCTATTTTTTCACTTACATTTCAGCTATCAGAAGGCAATGTGTAAAATAAATATATTGCCAATAGTTTAATCACCTTGAAAAACATTTAGCTATCACACATCACAAAAAACTTGTAGCAGTGAACATTTACAAAATTTTGTCCTCATAATTTTATTTTACCCTGTTAGATTCTTTTCAAAAACAACAAATGACACATTCCCTATCTGTGTATGTAAGCATATGTGTCATAAACAACATCACAGATATGTCTCTGAAACGACATTCATTAAAATAATATGGCCACCAGTCGTCCATTTTGAATCACCAAAGTAATATTATGTTCAATGTACCAACCATGTTTGAATAATATTTATCTAAGTACAACCGAGATTTGGTTTTAGTTTTGGGACCGCAAGAATGCTTGATTTTAAAGAATTTTTAGTTCTAAAACTGATGCTTATTGGCCATCTTAAATAGGATCATGAAACAATTGAATGTTCATATATGTGACATGATGCATGCGTGAAGTTTAAGCATGTTTGATCGAGGCATGTCAAGATATAGCTCAGGAACATCATTCATTGAAACAAAAAGGCCACCAGTCGGCTATTTTGAATTTGATCTGACAAATAAACAGACGTGCATCAAGGTTTCACAATATCAAATGTATGTACAAAGTTGGAACAAAATCCATTCTCACATGATCGAGATGTGGTTCTTGAATAGCAGAATTGCTTATTCAAGTAAATTTAAAAAAATGTAACATGTAGAATTGAATCACAGAATAAATGCATATGTATCCAAGGATGTATGATGTATATGTAATGTTTGAACGTGATCTTTCCATGTTCAAGATAAAGCTTTAACAAAATTTCAATTTTGAATCAGATCTATGAAACCATAGACCTTCTTTTCTAAGGTCTATGATGAAACAAAGTGATGTGAAACAAGGTCACCTAATGTCCAAGGTGTGTACCAAGTTAAAACATGATCTGTCCTTGCACAACCAAGATCAGGATCGAGATTGACGGAGATGCTTGATTTTGCTTAAAAAATAAATGACAGACAGATTCACACAGGTGAAGTCCAAGTTTTTGGAATTTGTCTGAACAGGAACTGAAAATAAACCACGACTGCCCAATTTCATAAAATCTTCATACTTCACAGGGTTCACAAAAACCCCTCTGTGTCCACGGCTTAAATTCTAACAGAGCACTATATGGTATTTTAGGAATTTGACGATGAAGTAAATGCTAAAAAATATTAAATACATGTAAAAATAAATCATATACCAGGGAAAAAAAATGTTGCATAATGACTGCATAAACGCGATATTGTTCTATTGTTCAATTAATTGAGATAGGAAAAAATAATATTTGATACATGATAAAAATGTTCACAAATTAATATGCATTAGAATAAGCTTGTAATTAAGTCTCTATACCTAATTACATGTAGCAAATATATTAGTATTTTAATGCACAAACAGAGGAGGTGGCACAACATTTTGCATGAGGGGCAAGATCTGAAATCTAGACCCTCTGAAACACTATTTCCTGCATTTTGAGGAGCAAATTTTGTTGACACAAAAGGTTTCAGCTCCATGGGGGGGGGGCAACGTCCACCCCGGGTCGCCACCAATAACTAATGTCCTCCACAGTAAAGGATGTACATTACTGAAGCACTCTTGAATACTATTTGAGCCAATATACTATGATTCATCATTTTGCAGAATTTCTTTAAACTAAAAACGCAGATGTTACCGGTATGCCACTAGTCAAATGCTGCAGTGACAAAGAATGAAAATGTAAAGCTTTGTTATTTACTCTTCACAAGTAAATATTATCTGAGCAAAAAAAAAATGCATTGTCCTTCTGACACGATACGAGTTCTCGTTATGGAAATGTTTAAATGCCATTCGTTTGGCCCTGTGGAAATATAACACAGCACCAAAGAGCTGGAAATGCATTATTACTGACATGCAGAGCTACGCAATTTTCCTCTTTTAAATGTAACGACAGACTGTCGGCGTGTGCACTGTCATCTGTGACAGGCGGGTAATTCGCCCCTAATTAATGGCCCCTTGTCATATTCAGAGGGCGTGACAGTAGCCAAAAAATGAGGAAAACGTAAGAAATAATACCTAATAAGGTTATTCTTATATTGTGCGATTTTGTTCGTTTACAATATGCTCCAACCACTTGTTTGTTTGTTTTTTTTTCAACTCAAACATTAATAAACGTAATTTCTGTTGTTTACGCCCTCATTCATTTTTTTCATCTCAAATTTCGTTTCTGGTTTTGACAAATTGTTGGTTGTGGGTATAAATGAAAGTACCGCACGACATGTTTGTTGCTACGTGCAGATAGAAACGAACGCAGCCTATAGATCCCCCATTTTCAGTGATTCAAATACTTACCGGTTGAATCCATGTTTTTTTCTGGTATTTCTAGTCCGTTTAGGAATCAAAACTCAACTAACCCCACTAACAACTACACTGCCGCAGTTAAAACTGCGTTAGTCAGCTACAAAATAAATACGGCATTCGTGTTGAACATTTGGAACGGTGACCTCTGAACTGTGAATCTGGAAGCGCAATATCGAGAAAGGCTGTTGTAAGTGTTTTGCTCACTCCCCGGTTCCTGCCTGGCACATAAATATTTCCTCGGATTTGGTACCAGGATTTGAACGGTTACTTACATGATTTGCATGTGTCACGTGGTGCGGCTTGATTTCTTCCAATGGGAAATAAAATAAGCAACATTACTAATCTACACGCCTATTATATATTATTAAAAGTACATTACTTACAACCTCTGATATTATACACGGTGGAAATAAAAAAAATACATCGAATTCATCATAAAAATAGCTCAAAACTGAGTGAAGGATAAAATATGTTATGTATAATTCGTCTGCCATCGCCTCATCCAGAGTTTTTAATGGTCCATCCCTTATTGCAGCGATATCGCTTTCTAACGCCGATCCTAAATCAGCATAGCGCCACCAAACGTGAAGTATTAAATACTTTTGTTCATATACTAGTACGCAGGCGTGTGGAGATGTGACGACTCTATCCCTGGCATCACTTGTAAACGCCCTCATACTAAATAATTCGAAATATATCAAAAGACAACACACCCAACTCACCGGGACTCTGACGAGCGCCTGTTTGTGAAGTGTGTCATGTAAATACCCTTTTCATGGGGTGGAACTTGCAATGAATTTGACTGAGATTTTGTTTCGTATTTTATCAGTTCTTAGACCATTGGATGCTTCCTTGACTTAGATTCCATAAGTCGTTAGTAACAGTTTAAGTTAAAGCGTGTTATTATCCATTATCAAGTCAATATTATTTTATGGGTTTTATTAAAATGGTTCGCCGTTATATATAATAAATGCATGGGGGTACAGATCAAATATTCCAGTTTCAACAGCATCTTATTACATGGACAAAATACTCTCTCCTCTCTAACTTTTAAACTCTACCTTTGCCACATGATGTCCACTGTACATTTATGCAGTTATTGTTACATCTTAATACTAACGGCACAACAAACCCATTTCCTTATTTTTTGTGAACATTGGCACGAGTAATTTCAATCGGAAAATGGAATAACATTGAAACATGTTTGAATGACGTCACTTTGTTCGCTGGCTGGGTTCAACTGCCAGTAAAATTTATAAATATTTATAAAAGTGAAGAAGCAGGTTTGTTGTGTTGGTAGTAAACACGAATATTATTATATAAAAACGTACTGTTCTCGTATGAACTGGTAGAGGCGTAGTGAAGTTGGAAATGAGACTGTGTTTTGTTTTAAACAACGCTGTTAAGACATTGATCTACATGAATGGTTACGTAGTGGACGTGAACAAAAGTCTCAAACTTGTAACATACTCAAAGCCACTTTCCCTAATTTTAAATATGTTGATTGAGGACTAAGAATATCTGCACATACCTTACTTATTGAAACAAACGGGAGTCATAATATACACAAATTTGTGTTCGAACTGTATTCAAAACGAGATTCATTTTTGAGATGCCGTCTTTTTACTTGTTTAAATTAAGGAAAACAATATTTGCCGATATTCTATTTCAACAGGCAACAAATCATTGCGGAATTACCTAGCAATGTACTTAGTAATACGTTGTTCTTTTCAGAAATACAAAATATTGTCGGAATACAATGTTTGTATATGTCGCACCTGGAATTTAACCGTCAAAAATGTATTTCTTTTTTCATTAATTATTTGAGACTAATTGGGTTAATTACAGAGAATACGCAGTGTCTGCATATTTGTATGATTCCTGTATGAGTGTTTTCCCCATGTAATGCATTATCACGCCTTCCTATATACGCTACGCAGCAACAATGATTGACAACACCGCAAAGGATGATGGGAGAAACCAGAGATGCAAGAAACGAAAGCGCGGGAGCATGATACCAACTCTTCACTCTGCCGTGTTTCACTGAAATAACGGACTGTGCGTTATAATCTTAGCACATACAATCGAGAAACAAGAAACTTGTAGTGAGCCAAACAATGATCATGAAAAAGTAAGAATGAATACAGCCAGCCATGCCAATGTGGTGAATCAAATGCAATTTCTTGCATGACTTTCTGCTCAATATTATACAGTGTGTGGTAGCCTATGCCGAATAATCAATGGTGTGATCACAAATGATGATGAAGATTAATCATGATCACATACTTCATAGACACTATTACATTACATTAATGGGCAAAGACTATAAATCATATCCATGCCCTAGACATGGCTACATCCAAGGTCATCATTTTGCCAATGCCATTCTTGCATGTCATTATTGTTGGTTGCATAGACTAGACTATTAATGTACAAGTATTTATACATATCGGCCTTAATTGGTTTTAGATGCTATTTTTACCTTGCCCGTACCATCAAAGATGGAAGGGAAAGGTATATTAAGGGAAAAATTTTGTCCGGCGTTGTCGTTGTTGTTGTCGTCGTCGTCGTTAATAATTGTTATTGTGTGCCTAATAACTTTACTAATTCTATTCCAAACTTTATCAAACTTGGTCACCTTATTCATCAGTATAAAGTCTTCCCTGAGTTTGAACAACAGATGTCCTGTATGAAAATATCATGCAAA